GTAGCTATGATGCTAACGGACTTTGTATTATAGTAGGAAGAAAAGTTCATTTAAATTTCGAAGACATTATTTTTTAAATATCCACAAATGTCTCTTGAAATATTTTAAAATAAAAATTTAGAAAAGATTATATATATACAAGATGTTTTGATATACAACTTTCTACTCAATGATTATAGTTATTTACTAGTATTTTAGTATCATTGCTTGGATATCATAAACATGAATATCAAAACTGTCATGGTGGTTGTTTATCACAGTTGCCTGATGCATTTCAATATTCTAGGAAATTTTCTTGGTTTTAGAAGGAAAAAAAACAAAAAGCTGATTCAGACTTTAGAATCATTCTGGGAAAATTATCCCATTGTAATGGACTATACCTAATACATACATATTCTATGTATGCATATTATATACACAAATATACATGATTGAAATTCTTATCAAAAAATATTGTTCATTTATATTAGTAAGAATGAAACATTATAAGGAGATGAGCAAAGATCTCTAAGGTCCTTCCCAACTCTAAAACTCTGTGATGTGTGATGTGTAATTGAAATGATAAGTTTAAGAATAAAAGAAACTAGGGATGACTTTGTGGGATATTGAGTAAGCTGCCATCTGTGATGCCCTCATCCCACATGGGCTCCTATTCTTATCTTGGCAGCTCCACTTCCTAACCAGCTTCCTGCTCATGGCCTGAGAAAAAGCAGTGGAAGATGGCCCAGGTGCTTGGGCCCTGCTAGCCAAGTGGGAGACCTGGAGGAAGCTCCTTTCCTGGCTTTTACCTTGCCCAGCCCCAGCCATTGCAGCCATCTGGGGAGTGAACCAGTGGATGGAAGCCCTCTCTCTCTCTCTCCCTCTCTCTCTCTCTGTCTCTCACTCTCTCTTTCTCTCTCTGACTCTCAAATACATAAATCTTGTTTAAAAAGAGTAAAGCAAGCATAAAAGTGAGAAATTAACTTTCCTTTAATATGCTCAACATAAAAGAAGCCATAACACTGAATGAAGTTGAAATGCTGGTGTTTGCTGAGTCAGGCTGATCCAAGCCATTGCTTTAGAATGGCTGCCTGGTCAGCAGGAAGCAATTTAGTCCTTTCTGCAACACGGCTGAAGTCAGCAGCCCATAGCTAGTGTGATGAAAGATGAATACATTTCATGGGGAAAAGTAACTAAGCTTGGAAAAGAATACTCTTTTAAGTAGCATATTGCATTAAAAAGTAATTATAAAGCACATGCGAGAATGATCCTACAGCACATAAATGTTGCGATGGACACCAACTCCTGGAGCACACTTGGAAAAAGAAGTGTGCACAATGTACGTGGGGCCTGCCCAGGTTGATATCTGAGTGCTGAGCTAGGAACTGACCCATCACGAAGGTTACTCAAATGTTTGGAATATAATTATAATGTTTTGCTTATTTTATTTTTGAATAGTGCCTCAGTAATTTGTGCCTCTATTTCAACAAAGGAAACACTCTACAAATGAATTAAGGAAATGACTCTCTTTAAGTTTGCCCAGTGATTTTTCAAAAAATCAATGGTTCATTAAGCACAGTTCATGCGCCAGCTGTTTTAAGTTTTACCTAATTAATTCTCTCATTTACATTAGTTTACCTAATTCCACAAAGTTTGGGTTTTTAGTAAAAATAAATTTGTGTATTACTTTCATTATGATTTACTTGATACTATTATTTAATTGCAGCAACATATATTTAAAACTTTAAGTGTTTGGTGGTAATATATATTTCAAAGTCAACTATCTCTATTCCCTGAAGTAGAAAAAAATTACATTGAAAGTGTTGAGCATACACTTTCAAATTCTCTTGCTAGATCTCAAAGGAATATTAGAGTACACTAACATACGTGTCAAGAAGAAGGCAATGATGGATGGGAGACTAAGCAAACACTTTTTGTGTCAAAAATGATCCCCTCCCCACAATCTGTAATTCAAAGAATGCTTTCTAGGTTGGTCAAAGCTAGGCTTCAGTTTTAATAAGCTACATCATTTTCAACTTTTTGAAGAAAATCGAGAGAACAAGCTTTTCCTTCATAGAAAGATTCTTAGAAACTCCAATTTGAAGTGTACTTTCAAAGAACTCACATTTTAAAAAGGTAATTCAGGATAAATATGACACCTAATTTAAAGATATTCAATTGGCTTCGTGTCAGGCTATATAGTGATTTTAGAGCCCTTTCCTGAAGTTTAAAACTTGGAATAGATTTTCTCCACCAAGCTGGTACTATAAATAGATATTAAGACCTAACTACTTAATGTGATGTGTTTTTTATTCCATTAACAGTAGCTTTTGGACAGAAAGTCATGCAAACTTTGAACGGTTTGTATCTTCCTATAAGTTTCTCTGAATTTTAAACTTTCAAGTATGGTTGGAAGAAGCAACAGAGGTGCAGGACTGCACCCTTCTTCTGAATATTCTAGACCATTTCAGCCTCATGCTTTCTTCTGCCTCCCAGGGCCCAGGGTATTACTAACGGGTACAAGGGAAGGCAATGTAGTGTAGTACTCCATAATAATGCTGTCCTTGATGTATCTCAGAAGTAAGATGGTAATCCCTAATCTTCCCCCAATATTTCAACAACAAAGAGTACTTTCCTATAGTAGAAGACAAAACCCAGAAGTAGATGGTAGAATGACAGGTAAGTAGGCAAGGCCAACAGGCTAATGAAGTCCTTATTTACTCACTTATTTAACAAACATCATTAACCTCGTCTGTGTGCTAAACATGTGCTGAATGACAAGCCAGTAGGAAAGTGAGTAAGATACGACTCTCCCATCCTATGGATGCATCTGCCAGAGTAGAGAAAGTGGAAAATGAGCCTCTCAGATTCTGGCAGCTCAATGGAGAAGTGCCTTTAAATAAGCAAGGGATGGACAACATAGCCAACTGGATGACATACTCATTACAACGGTTAAGCTCACCAAACAAATGAAACAAAAGCCTAATGCTCAAAAATTTTACAACCGCCACGACACAGCACAAAGTACTGGCAGTCAACACGATCCATAGCGCTAGAACTAGGTTGTGGAGCTTATCTGCCATGCAAGGTTTTTCTGTTGGTTCTGGGATTGTGGGGTGGTCCCAGGAACTGTAAAGCTTTGCCTGGATCTCTAGGCTCCAAACCAACCTGAACACACGCCTCATTTTGGATTTGAGATATAATTAAGGAAGAAAAAAAATGAAAGACACATTTAAGCCAACAGGTGAGGAGTGGACTTTTGTTGTAGCAGTTAAGATACCGACTGGGATGTCCACATCCTCTGACAGAGCACTGGAATGAAGTCTTGGCTCAGCTCCCGACTCCATCTCCTGCCGAAGTGCACCTGCAGGGGCAGCAGTGATGGCTGAAGAAGTTGGGTCCCCACTACCAGTATGGAAGACCAGGTTGAAATTCTGGCTCCTGGCTTCAGCCTGGCCCAACCCAGGCATTTGGGGAATAAACCAACAGATGAAATCAATCTCTCTCTCTCTCTCTCTCTCTCCCTCCCTTTTGAATAAATCAAATGAATTTTTAAAAATTTGGTGAGTAATATTACTAAATAATGGAGAAAACTCACTGCTATTTATTTTTATTCAGTAAAGTATATATAATTGGTACTTACAGTTTTACATGCCATATAATATCATTTCATCTGTTAATTTTTTTTTTTTGACAGGCAGAGTGGACAGTGAGAGAGAGAGACAGAGAGAAAGGTCTTCCTTTGCCGTTGGTTCACCCTCCAATGGCCGCCGCGGCCGGTGTGCTGCAGCCGGCGCACTGCGCTGATCCGATGGCAGGAGCCAGGTGCTTCTCCTGGTCTCCCATGGGGTGCAGGGCCCAAACACTTGGGCCATCCTCCACTGCACTCCCGAGCCACAGCAGAGAGCTGGCCTGGAAGAGGGGCAACCGGGACGGAATCCGGTGCCCCGACCAGGACTAGAACCTGGTGTGCCGGCGCCGCAAGGCAGAGGATTAGCCTAGTGAGCCGCGGCGCCAGCCCATCTGTTAATTTTTCATTAGAATTTTCATTTTGGTTGAATTCACATTGAGAGTCAACTATGTTCCAGGCCACATGGTGAATGATATCTCCTGACTTCTGGAATAAAAATTCCATTATTATATTGATTAAAATATTCTATTACAAAACATCTAAGTTTCAAAGTTTATTACTAGGGTTGGGCACTGTGGCTTAGTAAGTTAAGCCTCCACCTGCAGCACTGGCATCTCATATGGACACCAATTCAAGTCTTGGGTGCTCCACTTCCATTCCAGCTCCCTGCTAATGCACCTGAGAAAGCAGCAGAAGATGGCCCAAGTGCTTGGGCCCCTGTACTCACATGGGTGCTCCTGGCTTCAGTCTCTCTTTCTCCTTCTCACTCTGTATTTCTGCCTTTCAGATCAATACACCTTAAAAATGTTTAGTAATATTTTTAACAATGTAAAATGATTTCCAAATTTTCTTGGTGATAATGTCACCCTATTTGAATGTGGGTATGCTGTATTGAGACTGAGGTCATGGTTTGGAGTAAAGGACATTATTAAGAGTCAATTCAATACACAACAGAACAAAGAACAGAACAGAGAATGAGTGTGAGTTCAAGGTGCAATGGAGTGGAAAGGACTGAGTAAATTGTGGACGGCTGAAGGCTGATAGGCTTGGAAGAAAAGACTAGAAGCAAAGGAAATCTAATGAACCACACTGGGTGATACATAGGCTTAATCATGATCAGACAACTCAAATCCACTAGGAAACAACATGGCTCTTTTCCTGTCTCTCAACTGCTTTTTTGGGGGGCGTGGGGTTGCTCTGTAAGCCCTCTTTACTCACTTTCTCATTTAATACTCTCAAAAGCCATGGAAAGTTGCTACCAGAATTGTTGCATTGTTACTCTTCTCCTCTCTCCCTCCCCCCACCTCACACACACACACACACACACACCCCCTTTTACAGAGAACATTATGCTTAAAAGAGACAAATGAGCAGCCTCCAAGGCAGACACTTCATTCATAAGTAGCAGAAACAAGACGATACTTCATCTGTTTTACAGCTAGGATAAAAGGATATGGGCAAAAGCAAAGCTACATTAATCACGGTGCAGGCAGAATTAACACAGGCACACGTTTGAAAGACACAGTTTTTTACTACATTCATTGGCTTAATAGTATAAATAAAGTAAGGAAATTTGAATCCAAAGTGTTGGCATTAGGATTAACTGTAAGGAATATGATTAATAATCGTGTTAAGATATGTTTTCTTGTTAATTCAATAAAACTCAAGAAGTTTCTTTTTTATGTAAAGAAAAGTGGAAGAATAGGTCATTCTTTAAAAGCAAGACCTACAAATGGCAGAAAAGTTAAATATATTCTAAAGAAGGAGTATGAGTTAAAATCAATGTTTAATTTTCACAACAGAGAGAAGTGTATGAATATCCAAGACTCATATGTGGTTTCAGGTTCTCCATTTGTCTCAAAGTAAGCCCCTTGAAATTAAGTAAGACTTGACCCTGGATCAACCATTTCATAAAGAAGACAGTAAATGGTTTAATGCCATTTAATCCAACACTTGTTGTCCAGTGTTTTATTTATATTCCTAGGAAAGTCTAAGGAGAAAGGTTTTATGGTGGAGAAGCACCCTACTTTTTATTTAGCCCTATACAATTTTCTAAAGGATAAATGTTTTTGTTGGCTAAATAAAAAGATGTAGTAAATAGTAAAAGACATGTTAATATTAATTTTATAGAAAGAAACAAGACTTTACCCTTGCCAGATATTCTAACATTTAAAAACATTGGTTTTTGTACTAAAATGAAATAAAATGGAACACATGGCATATAACGGAGTTTCCGATGTTGCAATTAATTCCTAGGTCAGAAACCTCTTGTTTCCAGGTATGATTTGTTGATATAATGGCTTCTGCCCCTCTTTTCAATGGTTTCAATTTTATTTATAGAGTAATAAATTTAGTGAAATATGTTGGACTTAAAAAAAAATTTTCCATAGTATATTTAAAAAAACCCAAACCCAAGTGAGTCAAACAAATGCCAGTATGTGAAAGCTTTTTAACAGAACTTTCCTGTTCACCAGGGACAGTCTTATCAACCATATCCGAGTCAAAAGGCAGCCCAATTAGCTGATGGCGAGAGCCTAAGAAATCGTGTGGAAAACATTCCTCAGCGATCACAAACAGCTCCTCAGAGAGATGACACACGGAGATCAGACTTTCGTCAAATTCTCGTGCACTCTGGGCCGCAGAGGGGAGGGGTACCAAGCACGAATGAATTACAGCAGAATGTGGCTGAGTGGAAAGTGTTGTAGGGAAAGCTAATGTCTCAGGGAGCCATAAACCGGGGAGCTACCACCGATGAGTTCCAAGAATATACACAGATGCGTAGAGGAAGCCTGGACACAGAGAGGCACATAAACCACCCGCATTCCTCGTTTGCCCCAGACATCTGCAGCCTGACACGCTGTTATTTGGAAGTGAGGATTGCCCATGGCTATCACACTACTCTTCTGCTTAGAGTTTTGATGAAAGTGATATGCATTCCTTTCATCTTGCCAAGGTCGCCACAACCCCTCACATTGGAAGCTTGCTTCGTATCTGGCTGGAACAGCTGAAAAAGAAAAAAAAAAGCATTATTACTTTTATTGTGGCTATAGCAGCAACTGACATGTTCTTTCCTCTTTCTGTGTTTGAAAGGAAAAGCAAAGCCAAATTAGCCTTCGGGGGACAGGGTATATATTATACAACTCAACTGAAGTTCATCGCAGAGGTGTTTCTTGCTCACAGATTTGAGTCTCTTCACATCTGTTTGTGGATTTCACTAGCAATTTCTGTTTAGAAATTCCTAATTTTCTAAAGCTGAGAGATTTAAAGAAAAATGCCATGAGACTAAATTAAAAAAAATTCCTTCATTTTTTTTTACAAGTGATGTATGGAGAACACTTTTAAGGAGACGTGGAAGTGAGACAGCACCTGCCGAGTTAGGACTTCCCCGTAATGGCTGAGCAGGAAGTATCAAAGGGAAGTTTCTTCTCTCAAGGCACAAAGTGCTGGGAATCCATTTGTCCCCAGCTCCTGCTAATGCGATTGTTATCTGATGTGCCCAATTTCTTTTCTGACCCATAATTTCTTTAACTTGGCTGTATTTACCTTCTGCTTAGTTGAAACAGTTCCAAATACCAATTTGATCATTTTTTGTCTAAGTTTCTATCTCTGTAAAAAAAAAAAATGTTCTACCATATTTTTAGCTGATAACTCGTTATTTCAAATCTGAGCTTCCTTGTGTTCTTGTATAAATGCTAACGCCATTTTCCCAAGGTGCCTTTCAGACGGCACTACTGTTATTGGAGGTCTTGACACAAAATTCTTATTTTATAAAGCTCCCCTTGGATAAATAGTGTCCATTTCTGAAAAGTGCAGCCCCACCCTGAAATGTCTGAACTGTTGAACTGGGAGCTGTATATTGATCCAAAGGCAGTATTTTTCACTTAAATTTGTAATGATGTGTGCCATCTGATTGCTATTTTATTTTATGAGATATTTGGGTTCCTATTGAATGTTCATTGAACTTTACTGAAAGTCACACATTATATAAATTCATGTCCATTGTATCTACATAGAGAAAGAAGATATACAGTAGGCCGCCTGCAGTGCTAGTATCCCATATGGGCGCCAGTTCGAGTCCCGGCTGCTCCACTTCCAATCCAGCTCTCTGCTATGGCCTAGGAAAGCAGTAGAGGATAGCCTAGGTCCTTGGGCCCCTTCACCCATTTGGGAGACCAGGAAGAAGCTCCTGTCTTCTGACTTCAGATCAGCACAGCTCCGGCCGTTGCGACCATCTAGGGAGTGAACCAGCAGATGGAAGACCTCTCTCTCTTTCTCTCTCTCTCTGCCTCTCTGTAATTCTGCCTTTCAAATAAATAAATCTTTTTTTTTAAAAAAAGAAGATATACAGACATAGAAGACCTGTTCAGTCTGAGCTCAGTTACTTATGAATTTTGTGATCTTAACTAAGTCATCTATTTCTTAATCCTGTTTCTTTAAGCCATTGCCAAGATAGCTCATCAGTAACATGAAAACAAAAATGGTAACACCTATGCATTTTTATGATTCAATACAACTAAAGCATCAGCATTATTTATGATATGTAGTAAGTTTTCAATACACAGTAAAGATTATTTTCAATATAGCATAGAATTGCATTGCTTGGATAGAATTGTCTCAAGTGCTATTTTTATCTTCAGAAATTTGGGGGGCCGGCACCATGGCGCAGTAGGTTAATCCTCCGCCTGCATCCCATATGGGCACCAGTTCTAGTCCTGGTTGCTCCTCTTCCAATCCAGCTCTCTGCTATGGTCTGGGGAAGCAGTAGAAGATGGCCCAAGTGCTTGAGCCCCTGCACCTGCGTGGGAGACCAGGAAGAAGCATCTGACTCCTGGTTTGGATCAGCGCAGCTCTAGCCATTGTGGCCATTTGGGGAGAGAAACAATGGAAGGAAGATCTCTGTCTCTGTCTCTCCCTCTCACTGTCTGTAAACTCTACCTCTCAAATAAATAAATAAAATCTTTTAAAAAAAATTTGGAAAATTGCTAGGATTCAACCTTGTATTCTGACTTCCTGATTCTGAGAACAGTTCCTAGCACACAGTCGGTACTCACTAAATACTTGTGTCATATATCTAATGAAACTCTTAACTCCATAATAAAAAGCACTGTGACAGGCAGAGAGCATATATGATTCCCTTTTACATCTGTTTCCCACAATACTAATATAGAAGTTAGCTGTACAGAATCAACAATTAAAGTTTTTGCTAAATTAAGGAATAATGAGTTAGCTGAGAAAATTGTATTTTAATATATGCTTGATATATAATTCTACTTATTTGATTCAAAGAGGAGTTTGTTAATTTTCAAAAAATGACTAATGTTTGTTGATAATTTAATATGTGCTAACACAAAGCAGATTAAAATATATGAAATTATAATCTACAAAGTAAGCCACAACTAAATAGGAAAATCAGTCTTGATATTTTGCAGTCATAATATTATCTTGCAGAGATAAGATATTTCTCCACACACTATACATGTTTAATTTATCCCAAATTAATAATGCTGTCTTAGTGATAAAGAGTCTGAGTAAGTATTCATGATTTCAGTTAGGTTTATAATTTTGAAACAGCAAATATTTCAATTAATATCATGAAGTATTTGTAATTAATTCAGCTTATGATTCTATATCTTTTTTGGCAACAATTCTCTAAATTATAGACAGAACAGCTACTGTTCACTATAATGACATATTCCTTCCACTTGGCCTTCTAACTCCCTTAAGCGATTTTCCCTCACCTGTTTTTATGTAAGTGTTTAAGTATTTCTATCTGGTCTACATTAAAAAGATGGAGATTTGGGGAAGCTGAGATGACACAAAAGTGAATTAACTGTACTGATGCTGACAGATTATCATAATTGGAATATGGTTACTCTGTTAGATAAAATAATACTAATAGTTTCACAACAGTCTTGAGTAAGTGGAACAAGTGATTAGAACAAAGGCATATAGACCATAATCTAATAGGTGTAACACTGAAATAATACAAGGGCATCAAAATAGGCTTTCTACCTTAATTAATCCTTAAGAAAGTAAAAACAGTAATGGCTTCACACATGCACAAGCAAAGAGTAATAGATGAAATGTCTAAAACCTCTGAATAAAGGATTATCATTCATGGTCAAGTGAGAATGGCAAATTCATTCTCCCTAATTAGCTGTGCCTACAGGAAAAAAGCAGCCAGTTCCATGCTTTGGAGAAGGGACAAGGCATTTAGCAATCAGTACAGCCATTATACTTGATAAACTTCTAAAAGTCAGTTGAGAACAGCAGGATTCCATGGATTTCTTGTTTAGTACTGTGCCCATTCCCATTCCCAGCTCAGTGGCTGGAGAGATTCGATGAGGTGAGGCAGTTCATGAGAACTGGCTGCTTCTATTTTCAAAAGGAACGTGCTCAATTGGAAACCTGAGAAATGACCACACTCAGTGACATCAATACGAGTGACCAGTCCGTGCTGTGAATGAGGCAAGCATCCTCTTGCATGAGTCTGTGCAAAGCAGAGGCCTAAGAGGATACAAACCAGTCACATACTTTTGGCTGACCTTGGCCCTGCACACATGTGCAGAGGAGACCTGAATGATTCCAGCGGAGTAGAAGCCTGGGCAGACAGACTGAGCCGGAATACAGTCTTCCATCCACACGGAGACCGCTCGGTGGAAGAAAGAAGCCTTATTGGCACCAGATGCTTGAGCAGAGCCCTTGTCTAATCATTGGCTGCCTACTAAGCTAGGAGACGGAGGGCCAGGACCTGGAAAACTGGATTTGAAAACACAAAATAAATAAACAAAATAAACTCATCAGTGGCCGCATACCACACGAGGAACAGATTTAGCCAAGCAAGTTACTGAACAAGCAAATCAGCCAATTAACAAACAAAACAGTGACAAAAATCTTGAGGTGGAAAAAAAAATCTGAATTGAGAACTGCTACATATAGTATTTTAAATGTCTAATTTTCAATATAAAATATGAGACATGCAAATATAGTAATGTTTCACTCATATTCTAGCAAACAAAGCCAAGAGGAGAGATAGCTATTGGACAGACCAGATAAAAAATTAAAAGAGCTATCACAAATAATTTCAAAAATGTAAAGGTAATTGTATCTGAATAATTTTAAAGAAAATAGTAACACTAAATCAACAAATAAAATGTCTCAACAAGAAGACAGGAAACATTTTTAAAACAGAAATTCTAGAGTTGAAATATCCTATAACTTAAAACAAAAAAATCACTAAAGATATTCAACATCAGATTCAATGTGGTAAAGGAAAATCTCAGTGAACCTAATGAACTGCCATGAGCTCATCTGAAAACAAGAGAGAAGAAAACTGATGAAACAGACAAAGGACCAGAGATCCACTGGAAGTGCCAAGAATCTAAAAGAGCCAAAACAATTTTTGAAAAGGAACAGAGATGGAAGACTTACATTACCTGACTTCAAAACTTACTATAGAGCCCCAGTAATCATGACCTTGTATTATTAGTAGAAGAAAAAGAACATTGATTTAATGTAACTAAATTCCAGAAATAAATTATTATATTTATGTTGAATTGATTTTGACAGTCAAGACAAGTCAATGAGGAAATAATAATCCTTTCAACATATGATTGAATTGAAAGCTTAGATATATGAAAAATTAACTAAAAATAGGTCATAGACTCAAATGCAAAAAAAGTAATATTGAAAACAAACAAACAAAAAGGATTTGTGACTTTGTAAAATTCTTCTTTGCGACTGTTAGAAAAGTTCCTTTGTTTGCCTCCATTGTATTGTCCCTAAACTGGGAATAGACTGCAGTCACAGCAATTCACACTACACTGCAGATACTGTCTGTGGGGAGCAACTCGGACTAGACTAAGTTACTGGAATTAAGACTTATTCTATGCATTTGCTCTCCCACAATATGGCGCTGGGAGAAGAGAAAACAGCTTCTACACAGCTGCCTCCAGTTCAACCAATAAACAGCAGGACCTGCTCCTGATTGGAGGAGAGCAGCGT